AGTCCCATAAAGACCTCTGTCTGGGAGGAAAGCTTTGGGAAGTACTAATAATTCAATTATAGTTCCAGCCATGGAAAAGTGAATTGTTATTTTAAGGAAGTACTTCTCTAAGTTTGACACTTCACCCATATCTATCATTCATTCTAGTCTTTTTCACATTAAGTTAACACAAAGAATATAGATACAGATATAGATATAGATGTTATAGTTATATATGTTATACATATATACGCACAATTTATTTTCATAGTTTAAATTTTTTAACATGGATCTGGTTACATCTTTATGACAAATCTATCTCTTTCATTTGGGAAAAGAAAGTATATCATGATTTGAAAATAGTGCACTCAGAGAACTGAGCATGAGATTATATCAAGCCAAAGTAGTCTTATGGCTAAATAAAATTTTCATATTTAATGATTTTTATCTACAGCTTTTTTCTGGAGAGTGCTCATTATGATCTTAGTTTCTACTATTTTTGTTCTTTTTGAATATTAGGTTAGTAACCAAAAACTAGTTAAACACTTGATTTTCTGTGGAGCCAATGGGTTTAATGAGGGTTGATGTACGAGGAGGATAGGAACCAAATTAATTAGCCTTAAAGGACAATTGAAAATCACAGCTCTGAATCATTTTGCTTTAATTTTTTCTCTCAGTGTGAAATTTATTTCATTTTATTTCTAGGTTCTTATAGTATGATTTATAACCATATTCTTCTACCATATACCAGACATAACATTAGAAATACTAATTATAAAGCTTAATTTCTTGACACTAAAAAAATTACACCTCAGGAATATAGACAATAACAAAAGTCTATCTGTGTAATCACATAGTTTGGGGAAATATTTTAACTGTAAAACTAAATGCAGAGATCTGCTTATAAAGAGATGCATAGGCAGAATAAACTTCTGTACTTCAAATACCAAAAAAAGAGAGTTTTTGTCTCCCTAAGGCAAACGTTTTTGAGATATAATTCTACCACATAATTACCACCATTCTCCTAGTTATACTTCCAGATCTCTGCTGGCTGTTTTTCCGTATAAATTGACTTTTATTTCCAATTATTTCATTAAAGAGATGAGAATCAGATTTAATTAAATAAGAACATGAAAATGATTATCATTCCTTTATCTGTAAATGTTACATATGAAAGGGTGCCTTTTTAAAAAAAATACAGCTCTCGTGGTGCATGAATTTATTGGAAATAAAGGTAGTGCTTTTAGAATTTTTCATTCATTCATGTATTCATTCACTAGTTTCTAGATGTTTTTTATTTTCCTTTTTATCTTTAATAAATAGTTATTAAGCTTCTGCACCTACCATATGTGAGAAAATGTGGATACACAAGATATGAATGTGGAAATGAGGTGACTACATATAGTCTTACCTGCAAATTAAATGATTAAAACATGAGTATTTGTATGGGAAAAGGAAATCTGAAACTACAAAGCTTCTAGAAGAAAATGCATAACAATACTTCACAACCTTGAGTTTTATTATGATTGTTAGAGGAGACGTAAAAGCCAGTAACAGTGATGAGGATGACAAAATGAATGGAATGTGATGATGGAAACATTTCATGTCTCAACCTGCATGGTGGTTACTTAAGGTGATGTAATTTTTAAAAAACTGAAGTCTTCTCCAAGGTTCTGCAAATCACTTGATATCAAAGAATCCTCAAAAATACAGCATTAAATAGTCACTTATGTTTATCGTTCTTCATACTTGAGTAGCACTTCATTATACAAAAATACCACACTTTAAAAAAAAAATCATTCTGCGGTTGATGGGCACTTGGGTCATTTCCAAGTTTAGCTATTATAAATTGTGCTGCTGCTGCTAGAAACATGAATAGACATGTATTCCTGTGGTATAATAGTTTCAATTCTTCTGGGAAATTAACCAGAAGAGGTATATTTGGGAGGAATGGTACCTCCAATCCTAGTTTTTTGAGGAATCTCCATCCTGATTTCCATTCTTTCTGATAGCCATCCTTTCATCTCCCTAGCGTAAAACACTGCAAGATTAAATAAGAACCAAAATGTACAATATATATTGTGAAAGTGGAAGGAGGAAGAAACTCCTTAAAAGCAAAGAAAAACAAGGATGTAGGAAAGGAGAAAAATAAGATATATATATATATATATATAGATAGATAGATAGATAGATAGATAGATAGATATAGGTATATATATATATATATATATATATATATGGAATATATATGATGCTAATGACATATATGATAAAATTATACTAATATATAATGATATATATGATAGATAATTATACTACTAACCTCTTTTAGTTCATCAAAAAGAATGGTTTGTGTCTCCATTGTCTGATCATTTTTTCTGCCTATATCTTGTAATCTGAGAAACTATTTCAAAAATAACAATATATAAACCATTGGTAATCTCCTAATATCTTGTTTTGAAATTCTATATCATCATTTTTATTCTTTTTTCTGCTTTAAATTTTTAAAAAATCACTCTTTTCAGAATAGTAAAAATAAACAAAAATCCCATGAAATTCCTCAATATGACAAGTGAAGAAGCAATATATGAATAAAGTTTATGGGAACAGCTTAAGTCTTTTTTGGATTCCACTATGATAAACATAGTACAAAGCAGAGAATATGCATACATCAGACAAATATTAAGGCAAATATCTTCTATTTTCATCATTACAATATTCATTTCTGATTAAATCAAGAAAGCAAGTATTATTGCACAAATAAAATAGACATAAATTGAAAAATTTCTAATTTATGTGATAGTAACTCATCCTTTGAATAATTACTTACTGTTTTATCTAGCAGAGGGTAGATTCACAAGCATAACCAAAATGGAATTTTAAGTTTGACATAAGGCAAAGAGAAATATAGCATAATATCTAATAGTGATAAGGTTTTGATTTTGATGATAGTGAGATATAATAGATGGGTGTTTGTGCCTGTGTGTAACACATGAACTGAGACAATTATTGAGAAAAAGTTCTCAGAAAAGCTAAGTCACTGTGGCACAGTGTCTTAGCTACTGACTAACTTCTTAATTGTGGGCATATGAACTACTAATTGCTTCCTTAGAAGGAAAAGAATTAAAGGGAATGAGAAGAAAGTGGCAAAAGGGTCAAGCTGTAAATAAAATGCAGAAAATGAAAGAGGAGCAAATAATTTGAGAAAATGACAAACAGCACGTGCATGTTACTCAGCAGGACTAGCGAATAAGCTCAGAGACAGAGCGCTAAGATAAATCTGAAAAGAGAAACAAGAGCCATAACACGAAGATTTATATACACTGTTGAGGTAGTCGACCTGTTCTTTTTATAAAAAAATAGTCTGACCTGTTGATAAAAATGATACATAAACTATTACTTAATTTAATTTAGTATTATTCAGTACAAAGCAATAATTTTCAATAATTTGTTGCCAAATACTTTTAAAAATTTACATAGGCTAGTTGCATTCCTGGACTAAAAGTAAATTAAAAGTATGACACCTGACTCAGATTAGGAGGAAGTCTAAATCAATGGTCTGTACATGGCCACCTGGAACTCGTGGAGGATGCTATTTATATTGATTGTCTAAATATTGCTCTCTCAGATTCATATGTAGAGAAGCAACAGTATACTTTGGCATTATGGACTTTTAGAAACCCCCTAGAAAATTTTACTCCACTGGCAGGTTGGAAACTACTGGCATTAAATACCTTTTAGGTTCATCAAAATCCTTAAAGCAGATAGTTATTACATGTCTATTTATATTAAAATACTCAAAACAAAAAAAAACACTTTAGTACTTTACTATTTCAAGGTAAAAGCAATTCAACAAAATACATTTCATCTGACCTCTGTGTTTTAAATAGTACTATTCACTATCTACTCTGTTTTCCCTGCTAATATGATCCTATTTTACCTAGGAAATCAGTATTATCTACAACCTTATTAACACAAAGTTCAGTGTTTATTAACTAAGTATATTTAATCATTTATGTAATAGCTGAAACTAGTTTGAACTTAGGGTATATTCACTTTTTAATTGCTTAAATATAATCAACATCATATTTTAAAACAATAAATATAAACAGATGGAATAACTGTTCAAATTATTTATTTGATATCAGAAATGGAACTCAGGACCTCATGCAGTTATTAAATGTAAACAGAGTGCCAGTCTGATAGTGATAAAGTACATGTTATTTGAAAAGTATACCTCAATTTAATTCCAAAACTAAATTATGTTGATCACTAAGTCTTAAAAATCTTACTAATTTCACTTAACATTATGATCTGGAGGCACATCCATTTATCCACAAAAGATTCAAGTTTATCTTTATGGCACAGTAGTACTACATTTTGTAGAAATACCACATTGTGTTTATCTTTCCATCTACTGATGGACACATAAGTAGCTTCCAATATTTAATTATTATGAATTGTGCTACTATATACTGAGTATACATAGATCATAGTAGTATGATGTCTTTAACACTTATGGGAAGATACCTAAAGAGGAATAGCTGGGTCTGAAAAACATAGGGTAAAAATAAAGAGTAAAATAAAATATGATAGGAAGTACAGAGAAGATCTTTATTGAAGGGGCAAGAAAATTAAGAAATGAGGGAACTAGAAAAGGGAAGGGAATAAAAAAGGGATTGGGGTATGCTGGGTGCATGTACCAACTTTGCACAAAGAAGGCAAATATGCAGTGCAATAGATGCACAAAAAAGTAAAGGAATTAAGACATGGTTACAAGGAAGAGGAGGGAAGGGTAAGGAGATAAATAAGAGAATTAAGATGTTTTTGTACACGTGCAAATTTCCCACAAAGAATGTAAACACTATGCACTACACACATGCAGAAAAAATAGAATAAAAATTTTAAAAATAAGTTTATACATCATTTCCATTTCGGAATCGAATTCTTAAGAAATGCATTGTGCAATGCCCATAAAAGTATCAACTTTTAGTGTATCTTTCTGTCACATGGGTCGTTACCTGTATGACACTGTCTCCAGGTCTCATGTCTGTGTAAACATAAACGTCATAGGATATTTCAGGGAAGGTTGGGGTGTTATCATTTGCATCCATCACTCGAATATTGACTACAACTGGCTTACTTTCTTGTACACCATCAAATGCTGTTATCTTTGGAAAAACAAAAGTAAACAACAGAGAAGTCATACAAGTATAAGCAGTACAGATTCTATTCTCACAATTTAATGAGTTTTCGTACATAATTTACAATTATAAAAGAGTGCAAAGATGTTTTATTGATAATGAAGAAATAAAATGCAATATTCCAAATATTCAAAACTGTTTCAAAGTGCTAAGAATAAGTTAGTGAGGATTCTGTGCTGCCTTTAGTGCATTAAGACTCCGGGCACATTTTAAATAATGAGATATGCAAAATGGCTTCAAATGATGCAACAGCATTGCTGACTCTTAAGAGCTAATCACAGTTTAATGTTTAAAATATTAACTGGAAAATATTTTCTACCCTTATTTTGTATTCAACAGTTTCTTTTTATAATGTGCATACATCACTCAAGAAAGCAAACGTTTTAGACTAAATTACATTATAGTAATTCACATAAGGGTATTTAAAAGATCCATTATTATGCATTACTAGTGATATCTTAATTACATTTTTAACAATTTAAAACAGTCTGACAAAAAAAATCACTGCTTTATTCATGCTGTCTGAATGGCTTCTGAAATTTAATATATATTTAACTTTTAAGTTTTTCTGGAAAGTCTGGTCTTCTGCTGTAAAAATATTTTCCTAAATAACTCAAGTAAATTTCATAAATTGTATCTTTGCATCAGCACATTTTTCATGTTTGTCTTATACCTTCTTCCAAAACTTGGGTGTAAATGGAACGTTCTTTTTATTTATATTTTCCCCCTCTACGATACACAGTACGTACATGGTCTTACCTGGAATTTAAGTATTTCCCCCTCAAATCATTGACCTCAGCAGCTTTAATCAGATATCTTTTCTCAGCTACATTCACATAGACTTAAGTATACATGAAATATTTTTACCGAAAACGTGTAAAATTGCTGTTCCTCTCTGTCGACTGGTTGAAGCAGGGTAAGGTAGCGAATGATACCCGTCTGTGTGACAGTGAAGACTGACGTGTAATCGTTTAGGAAAAGGTGAAGCTCCGGGTCTTTCGTCTTTGAAAAAAAATCCATTACTTAAAATGTTGAATAAATAACACATCGTTTATTACCTTCAATTAATAATGTATATTACTTTTCAAAAAATTTTAAAATTCACTCTTCAACAAATTATACAAAGGTAGCAATCTATAATGTGGACTACAGAATGCTGAAAAGTTAATGCAAACAAAAGAAAAACATAGGAAGAAGGAAAGGGTATAAAATAATTCACACAGGGGCTGGTGATTTAGCTCAGCCGCATAATCACCTGCCTTGCAAGTTCGTGGTTATGAGTTCGGTACCCGAAACTGATTTTTTTTTTAAGTGTAAAAAAAATAACCTACATGAATATATTATTGCTCATTACTTTATGTTCATGTTTTCTATAACTTTATGGGATTCAAGATATAAGAAATAAAAGCAAGAAAAGGAAATTGGAACAAGTGTTTGGGCTGTAAAATTTTGCAATTACTTCTTGTGTAATAATAAACTACACATGTGTATATTACTATTGTGTTTTCACCTATAATGTAAAATAGAAGCAAAATTGCTTATACAATATTCATTACCTATAACATTATTCTTGCTCTTTCTCATTATAATACATTAAAGGTTCTCCAAAGGGAAGCATAATATTTATTTTAATTAAAATAATTCTTAAAAATAAAAATAAAAATAATATTTCTGAATTTTTGGAAAAAAGGTTAAATTCACAAATGTGCCTATAAAAGAGATTAGAAAAATAATACATATTTAGGGAGCAAAAGATTTCAAAACTCAAAACAAAAAGATAATTAACAGTATTAGAAAAGCTTTACAATTTAATTTCTGAATGATAAGATATAATCCTCTGTAATTCAGAGAAATAATAAAGAGATGCATTCAAGCGGCTGGGCACCTGTTTAGTGGGAAAGGACATAAGTGGACAAACAGTTGGGGAATACTTAGAAAGTGGACTGTTAGGAAGACTAGGAAAAAGAAAATGGGATGACAGGGATGTAAGGTACTTTTATAAACTGTAAAATTTTAAAAGTATTCTGTATAGTATGATGTAAAAAGGTTGTAATAAAACATAATATATCTACTCTCAACAACTGAAAGAAGTTCAGTATTATTAACTATGTGTTAATTTGGAAAATGCAGCTTATATTTTAAAAATTTCAATGTAAAACAAAACAAAGTTGAAATATGTACTATTATAATCAAAAGTGTATATTTTTAAATGAATTCCAATGTACTTTAATGTGTACATTTCCAGTGCTTCCATATGTTTATATTTCAAGTGATTCAAGTTTTCACTGAAAATTGCAGAGCTAAAACAAGTTATTTATTGGTAACATCTCATTCTGGGGTAGTTTCTTGTGCATAATTTTAACATAAGTCCTTGTGATAAATTTACCACAGTTAATAAATATATTAGTAGAATGAACAATAGTTTCTATTGTTCCCTTAGTATCAAATTATCATTGCCAGAAAATATAAAAGTCAAGAGCTTTTCATTGTGACACTTTCAGTCACTTCATGTGTCTATTTCAGTATTAAGACACCAGTGACTGAGGTGGATAAAAAGTGAGTTGTTTTATCTATCAAATATTCTATCTAATTTTGAAAAATCATGTATTTATAAAGTAATATAGTATGAACCACAATCATAAAGAATTAAATTAATTCATTATATTTCAGAATCATTTTGTTGAAATTTGATTATTAGAGATGATCAAAAGTTAGCATGTGATTTCAATCAGCAGGAATCAAACCATAAATGTCTAACATTTTTAGTTTTTCCTTAATTTGTCAAATCATTAAGCATTTAATCTGTATATTTTGTAATGTTCTAGTATGTCATAAGCAGATCTGTCTAATAACATTATTTTTCTCATAACGGTAATTTTCCATCATAGCTGAGTGAGTTTTGTTACTTGATTTGCCCATAAACTGCTTGCTTCTTTTTCTTACTTCAATTTCTTCTCTCATTTTCCACTTTATTCCTTAATCCTCTTACAGTTTCTTTTACTTCACTCAGCTATGTGCTGGAAAATGTGTTCAATACCTTCATTCATGCATTTACCACATGGTTTTAGCATTTTCATATGTGAAGATTGCAATAATGAAATACTGCAATTCATATTAAGTTATAAGCGAGTGTGTACTTAATATTACTTCAATATATACTGTGGTTCTGGCATAAATAACATCATATCAGTTTATCAAAATTTTAAAAACCTATAGACCTTGTCAAATGTTTCTCATATGCAGATGATATACATATTGATATTACATAAATAGTCTTTCATATTGGATAACCAGGGACATCAAAGATGTTTTGATAATTTAGGGTCTTTTCTTGAGACCACTTATAATGCTTATCTTGAGACTGAAATACTGTCAGATTATAGGCATGTCAAGGAGAGACGGTACCACATAAAGTTAGCACCATGCATTCAAATTATAGCTTATTCTATTTTGTTTTGCACAATGAACTTGATTAAAGTAGAACTCATGTCATATTTACTTAAGACAGTAACTTTTCTATGTCTATGTATAACAAACACAGATGACATAGGTAAGTATGTTGGCAAGTCCCATATGAAAGAAAATTCAATAATTACTAAACTTTAATTTTTAGTTTGGTTTGTAAGGATAATACCATTTTTGAATGTGATATGAGTGTTTTAAAAACCATATCATGTCTGTTAAAATTTTTTGTAATATTTTCATGCAAAACAAGTATCACATTTTAATGGATGCTTGTTAACACAGACGAATCTATTTTTCAATGACAGTATACAAAGTCAAAGATTCTGGTGCTTTGACAAGCAAATAAGCTAGGAACATAAAAAGTTTTACAAAAGTCAGGCATGGAGACATGTGTTTATAGTCCCAGCAATCTGGGAGACTGAAGCAAGAGGAGTACAAGTTTGAGCCCAACCTCATTTTTCAAAACAAAATATTGGGGTGATAAGGAATATTCAGACATGGCAATTTTTAAAATTTAAATTCTTCTTTTGTCGAGATGCTCCCTGGTATACAGCCTGAATCTCATAAATTTATTTAAATTATATAATCTATCAGTTGCACTGTTAAGTTTGATCAACATTTGTATATTTCAAGACCACTAATCACTTGAGAGTTATATGCTCAAAAGTCTTGTGGACTAGCATACAAACAGACAGGCAGTGCTCTGGCTTAATTTCCACCAAGTGACCATATATTTTTTTCTAGTACTTGTTTCTATAAATTGAGTTAGACAGTATTAGTTCTGCTACTCAAAGAATTACTATTTTTTATTTGGTGACATAAAGTATTATTTAAGTGGGAGACAACTCCAGTGACTCCCTTTGAATCCAAAACAATTACTGTGATTTTGATTACTTGGAGACTCATTTCCTTACACTGATATGGCTGGCTAAGGTATTTCCTTCTCTCTTGGCTCTGGGCATTGCAAATAAGGCTAGCCAAGGTGCTTATGTGCAAAGTCTATAGCCATCAGACAGTCCTGTTTCCCTATATGTGCTCTCTACAATACAGGATTGAGCTGGTGAGATGTTAGAGCAAATAGTTCCGGGAATGTCAACTGGGTACAGCCTCAAGATAAGAGGCAATGACGCCCCAGGCAACAATAATTTGCATATCAAAAGCCAAAGCAATACCCCTCCCAAAGCATATCCACTGCTACCTTCATAGGATTATGTAAATTGATCCTTCTGCATTTCTTCATCTCTGCAAATTACAGTGATGCCATTCTTGCACCTGCCAGCCAGCTCAAGTTACTCAGTAATTCCTGACTTTCTCACTGTCACTCATACCTGAGCCACCCCCATCTCTTTGCAAGATAATAAATGCTAGGAGAGGCCTAGGATCCAGGCCTTTGCCCACATGTCCTCAAGGGAATTGGATTTAGGACCCCTTGGCTGTCCTTAACTTGGTGTTTTTACTCTCCCTGTGGGTTGCACTGGTGGTGGTAGATTGGAATTAACTTGCTAGAATTCTAATAACATGTCAATGGAATTACAAATATTACAAATATAACTTTTTAGATTGTGAGGAAAAAGAGGATTACAATACTTGGATAACTGAACTCGATATTTGGGTTTACAATAATTTATTTTACCCTAAAATATGTAGTTAGTATAGATCAAAAATATAATTAATTGATTGTGCTACATACTGTTTTTAAGGGTAAAATAAATTCTGAGAAGCACTCACAAATACAAGAAACAAACACAAAAACAAATGCATATACAAATACAATGGCAAATAAATATCTAAATATTAAATGAAAAAAAATAATTCCATCATAAAAAATTGTTTTTGAATAAACAATCTACTGGATTTAAGATCAATTTGGGGTATCTGATGGGAATGAAAAATGTTAGACACAAATCATATGCTTGCTTATATATGCACCTGTATGACATATAAATATTTGCATATATACATTATATGTATATGTATATATGCGTACACATACGTACAAATTGCAAAGCATGACATGACAGGAAATGACAAAAGTGAAATCCAGCACACTTGAAATTGCAGCACTCAGAGACTGAGGCAGGAAGGAGAATTGCTGTGAGTTCAAGGCCAGTCTTTCTTACAAATTTAGTTCAAGTATATACTGAACCGCAGAGCAAAATCACTGTCTCAAAAATAAATAAATAAATAAGTTAATGCCAATCTGACAAATTTAATCTGTATTGCTAGCCTGAACCACATAGTTAGAAGAGCTTAATATCAAATTTAGAATATTTTAGGAAGAATTCTGTGATTGAGTTCACAAGGAAGCATCAAAGGATGTAAACACATTTGTATATATTAATTTTGATAAATTTATAAGTAGTATTAAAGTTTTATGGAGAAGAAAGTGAACACACAAATGAACCACAGCAATAAACAATCACAAAATCAACACCTAGTACCTACAGGAACTCCACCAGGTGGAACCTACATGTGAATCAGACATGAAGTAAACACTGTAAATATAAATAATCACCACAATACAAAATAGAACACAAGTGTATACTAGTAGGTAAGCAGAACAATCCCAATATTTCCACTACATTTAAAGTAACAATGTTTTCTAAAATGTATTTAACTTTTTTCTTAGAATTGTTATATGTATGATAGAGTAATGATATTAATTTAATATTTATTGCAATTATGATGTACTTATATCATTTATAAGTACATAATGCCTTTAAATGCAGTACATAATATCTGTATCTTAAAATCATAATACTTTATGCAAGGCAATCAGTTCACATTGAATTTTAAATTAATTAGTGTGCTTTACAAGTCCAACAGATAGATATTAATGATTATTGAAAGCTATTTTCTTATAACTAGAACTCAATAATGAACTGTTGTCTCCTCTGACACACACAATAATGGGGATAATCAAACATGTTGTGTACCTTACTAATATTTAAGGCAGTATTTAAAATATTATGTGATAAGATTCATTTATGTATATGAAATTTGGGGTAAGAAATGACTAGAAAAAGGAGGTCAGTTGCCTAGGAGGCAATATTAGCAAGAGGTCAATAAGGTAATTGTTATAAGATCAGAGAAAAGAGAATTTAAAATACTTAGGAGACTAACTAGAAAGATCTTAAAGATTTCTTATATGTAGTGAGCAAAGGAAAAATCAAGGAAGATTCCTAGGGTACTTTACTTGAGTGGCACAATTTTTGCATAAATTTTAAAAAGGAATACAATATCAGAAAATATAGGAAGTTGGTAAACTGTCTACAATAATCTATGAGTTTATGTAAGTGAAGAGTATATAGAAATTATGTAAGCTATTTTTAAAACTAAGGAATTACACATATTTGTTCATTTTCTATGTGCATAATTATACATAATTATAGTCACTCAATTTATAAGAGGTTGGTATTAAATATTTAAGTTACATTATTTGATTGTTTATAAAACAATAATCATGGCTCTCAACATGTATATGACATCATTTTGGGGAAATCTCTACAAACTCAGTGAATAACTGATTATATCAAAATCAAGAGCAAGAACTGGGGAACTTGATGAATACAAGGCTCACTGTGTGACAGCTATGACTTACAGAACTAGACATCAAACCTAGAGCTTATTCCAAAGCCCAAATTCCTAAGAACTCAGATTCTTCAGTGCACATAACATCCTAACTGCAGTTACAAACCTTGATGTCTAGTAATACCCACAAGACACTCCTTTATTCTATTTTCTGCAATGTTTTGTGAACTCGATTAATTTCTAGTTATGAAAAACAGGTTTACCACTGTATATACAATTGGAAAGAAAAGAAAAAACTAATATGCAATGAGAATACGTAAGTCCATAAATTGTGCTCTTTAGTAGAAACTAAAACTTTATAGCTTTAGGATTTAGTTATTGTGTAACCACCATGTTCATGAATGTATGATATGAATTACTACAAACAATAGTATTTTTAATTGAAAAATGAAATTGAATCTATTAAGAATTAAGGTACACAGGCACACCTGCATAACTTACCTTACCCTGGATAAACCTTTCTAAGCTGTAAGTATTTTCTAGTGAAAATTCACTAAATGGAGAGAGCGCTACCCTGAGATTTATGGAACCCACTAAATTTTAGGGCACTCCAAACACTTTAAGTTAATGTATGAAATTGTGTAAGTGTGTTCACTTTTCTAAGAGAAAATTTATACCATTCAGCAACTATAATTGCAGTTAGGTTAGAGCCAGAGTATATAAAATAGAAAATGTCCAGATAAGGTACTCTAAGCCTTTAACATCAAAAATATCTTTTACACAGAATTTGGCTCAAGGTCCTTTTATTCACACTATAAAATGTTATTTAAGAACACCTTCAAAATCTCTCTCTTCAATATGGGAATTTGTATGTGGAAAATGCAAGAAAAGAAAGCATAATAGATGATAAGAAAGCTTAGGGAGATGTAAAGACTAAAATTTAAAGCTGAAAAAGATGAAGTGGAGAACTTATGAGAATCTCTATTGACAGTCTCCCCACACAAAAAAAATTAAAGTGGCTTCTTAATTCATTACAGTGACTTTAAACCTGTATGTAATGAGAATTTGGAGAACATAGCAGAAGTGTGCTCTTCAATTAGCCAATGTGACTATTTGCATGTATTAAGTAAAATTAAACACAATTTAAAGGTCATGCTTCAACTGAGTCACATTTAAAGTATTTAATAGCCACAAAATGTCAGTGGCTACCATATTGCACAGCATAACTCAAGAATATATTCAGCATCAAAGAAAGTTCTATAAATGATGTTGATGAAGGAGAAATCTGAAAATTTTACTCTGAAAATGACAAATATAAAACCATATATGCTTATGTATATGATATATATATATATACACACACATATATTGAGAGAGAGCACAAATGTGTCTGTGTAAATATACACATATGTATGTATATTTGAAGGGTATTGTGATAGTTCACAGAATGAAAGCAAAATCTTTTGGAATTAGGATAGCTGTGGGGACTTCATAACCTAAAAGGTCTTTCTTTTAGGCTTCATGTTATTAATATCAGTACTGTGCATTCTTCATCATGTCAGCAAATCTGCCTAGAAGAGAGTTTCAGATTCATTTTCATTTTAATCCATGATGCCCATGCCTTCCAGTTTTTTGATCTGTAAGTTCCAGGGGCAGCTCTAGTTTGCCTGGTATACATTTTCTATTCAGTTTTCATATAAAATTATTTTGAGGAGGTGAATTACTCTAGCACACACCATTTTTCACTCATAGAGCAAGGTGAACAGCACAAATTCAAAGAACAAAGACGTGTTCAGTGGAGAAGCACAGTACAAACTGCTATGGGCAGAAGTGTGAGTGCCCACAATTTTTTTAAGTTATGTGCCATTAGACTGGGTGAAAACCCAGATTATACCTTCTGACTTCTTCATGACTTTTATATTCATTTCATAATGTCATTTTCTTTATGGATAATTAAATAAAACCATTCAATTTATATTGATATGAAAGATGGTTGTTGTGATTTAGCAGGCCCCAAGTATAACAGTCACCTTGTTAAATATATAGATTGGTTCAAAAAGAAAAATTAAGGCCATTGAATTCGAGCAAACTTTGAAAATCATTTTATACACAATTAAATTATTTTATTAAGAATCATTACACTCATTGTGTTTATCCTCTTGTTCTATAGCTCAGTCATATCTTTGTAATACTATTAACATAAATATATGCAGAAATATACAGATAAAGCAAAAGAAAAATAAATATATATAACTTACGTCTTCTATGTCTTTGTCCAGAGCAACAATTCTTAGGGGAGTGCTTAAATTCATACTGTCACAAATGGTTGCTCCCACAGGGGCAGATTCCAAGATATATCCTTGATAACTGGACATTGTGAAGTAAGGGCTCTGATTATTTTCATCCAATATTTCAATATGTAGACTGGCAAAGGCAGGAAGGGGGTGGCCATTATCCTGTTCTGCCTAAAAAAAAATTCATATTTTATATTATGACATCCTTTTAGAATGACACACTTTCTGCTACATATAATAATTATCCTTTAATCTAATATCATTACAGAAGAAATGCTTTAAGGAGCCATTAGAAAATATAACGGAGGAAATGGAAGTCTGGAGGAGCTTAATTGCTGGATGTATAGTCTTCATCCAACGGTATATGAAAAAAATAACAATGCGTTATTGCAGTCTTTGCTGTATATCATAAGGAGAGATAAGTGTGTTTAAGTATAGTTGAAAAATAATGAAACATTTGAGTGAATTGCTGATGACATATTTAAATGAAAGAGAAAAAATAATTAAAACCCAAAGAAAATATTTTTCCCCATGTATTAAAAATTCCATGCTAATTGCTAAACACCTATCTGCTATAGTCTCATTTGTAGTCCCAGAATTCTTACATTGAAATCCTTCCTTGCAAATTTAGAGTATTAAGAGGGGAGACGTTTGTAACATGATAGGGTGATGAAGGCAGACTGCTTATAAATAGGATTAATATCCTTCAAAAAGAGGAATGACCACTTTTCTTATGCAATAGTCATCATTTTTGTTCACTTAGGGAAATCTCAAATTTCATTCTGGACTTGAGGGCTGAAAATAGAGTGAAGGACCAAGTTAATATAGTGAAAATCTCTGCAAAATATTCTTTTTGAAAGATATTAATCCTATTTATAAAGAAATATTTCACTATTTCTACATCCTTATAAACTATCCTTTATTTAAACTTTAATGTTCTAAATTTTAAAGCCTATATAAAGAATTTGAGAGTAAGTTATTAAAATGTTTGAAAGCTTTCAAAATATTGAAATAAATTGTCAAATAAGAAACAAAGGTTTACAGTATATTAATATAATAGATTTTATCAGTTCATAAATACAGCAAAGGGTATTTTCTTGATAATAGGAAGATACAGTTTTGTGTGACTAAAAGTTATCTTCACTAGATAAAATATAGACAGCACGCTCTCAGAAAAATCTTTTGACAAAAAATAAATGACACACTTCCCACTTAGGGAATATTTTTGATCAAAAAATATATTTTATCTTCATTTCAAGTGAGGACATGCCCATTGTGTTTATGTTTTATTAGAATAAAACATAAACCATCAAAGCTCTTGTGTACCTTTCAATAATAAAAACTTTCTCTGTTCAGAGATTGAGATACAAAGTAGTGCTAGAATGAATGCAATGATTTTCAGTGATTTAAAGAAGAAAAACAGAGTCTCTTTGGGGAGGAGCATGCCTGCAAAAACTTTGGGGTAATCTCAGGTTTGCCAGCTATGTAGCTGGTATTTAGATTACTGGAGTCATTTTAGACATAGACAGCAATTTCATAAAGAGGCAAAACAGGAGCAGGGGTGAAGTAGCTTCTTTCTTTTACTTCAAGCATCTTTTCTTTATTCCTCTTGTTGTTTGTTCTCCCACAAGGCAAAGTCACCTTATCTTTTTTCTGGATTCTGACGTAATACTCAGTTTTCTCTTAATCAGGAAGAAACTCTACTAAGACAGCTTCTATTAATTTACCTTCCGATAAACCTATTTTTGTTATTTCATTTCTAAAAAAAACATTTAACATAAAAATTAAGCTAAAAATGGACATTTCTTAGCGTCTCAAGGGTGAGGTATGTATTAGTTGTCACTGAAGAAAAAATTGAAAACCCATTTATTTAACCTTCATGTCTTCAATACTTTTGCTTTAGATTTCTATGCAAAAACTGAGGAGGTTCTGAAGATACCTGGGACAATCAGATGCAAAATAGAGGAAGTTGGTCTGTGTGTGTTGGGGTGGAGTATAGAAATATGATTGGGATAGCTCAGAGAGTGGCACTTGCATTTGAACATTACACAATATGTCTATTTGCTGTTGTACTCTTGCAATGAACTTTGTTGAAAATAATGGTACTGTGACAATACTGGGTAAACTGCCTTTCTTCTTCCAAGTACTTGCAGATTATTTTGTGAAGAGAGAAAGAGGTTAAATAAAACATCATTCAGTCTTTTTTCAGCTTGCAAATGTTGACAGTTATTCATTTGCTCTATTTTTGTTTGTTTTCACTAACCCTTCTGAAAGACTAACATCATGAGACAGGTGGATGTCACACTTCCTTTCCTTTCTCTAAATCTGATAAATGGCATGATGGCCAACTAATATAGTCTATTTGTTAGAGTTTAGAAATATTTCAGGATACATTATTATTGTTAAAAAAATAATAGTTTGTGTGGTAAACTAAAGCAAAAAACATATAACTAAATCACAACATAAAAATAAACAATGAGAGGGCACCAAGATGGTAAAGTTGAAAGCAGCAGACAAAGCCCGTCTGAGAGCTGTTGTTCAGATGCTTGATTCCAGCACTGCAAGGAAGGCAACAGAAGGGAAGTGGCTCCTGTGTACCAGGAAGAATCTGAAATTTGAATTGAAGCCCACAGTGAGAATAAAGAGAGAACTTCAATGGAGAAGATGGAGGTAACTGGTGGGGCCTTTGCCAAGATGCAAATCATTGAACAAAAGAAGAGGCTCAAACAGTTACACACACAAACACACACACACACACACACAGCACACACAGTGACTGTCAGTGACCCCAGAGGTCTCCAACGAGAGATGCAACAGTGTAGAGGAGCAATGGAAGTGAAAGACTGCACCCGAAGGTGGTAAGTGCTGAGGGCTCAGTCATTCCCTGAGAGACAGTAATTGGGCTGAAGTCATCTTGGAGAGGGGCTGGCTGAGCTCAGAAATCAGACTGGCCACTGGCTCCTTCTAATGGCTTCCAGCTGGACTCAGAACTGCAGAAAGTGTGTTGCTGATTGCAGATGAAATGAGACTGGTCTTAGCCAGCAGGTGCAGGCTTGCTGAGATTATCGACTAACCCATCAAAAAGCTACTCCAGGCTTGCTGGGTTCAAATCAACATAGGCCTGGCTTTTGTTTCCACACATTGTCTTCCAGTTACAGTAGAAATAGGCTTGGAAATGGACTTTTTTGTTCTCTCTTTTCTCTCTCTTTCTCTCTCTCTCCCTCTCTCCTTCTCTCTCTCTCTCTGTCTCTCTCTCTTCTGTCTCTCTCTGTCCCCCTCTCTCTCTCTGTTGCTTGTTTTTGTTGTTGAAAACTTGTATTCTAATTATAGGTAAAATGCAGAAGAAATGGATAGATTCCTAGTTACATATGAATTACAAAGCTAAATTGAGAAGATATAAAAGTCATAAATAACTCAATATCAATAAATGAAATTGAAGATATAATTTAAAAAGATACCAACAAAGAAAGCTTAGTCACTGATGGATTCAATGCAGAATTCAATAAGAAATTTAGAGAAGAATTAATGCCACTGCTTCTCAGATTCTTTAATGAGATTGAAAGGGAAGTAATACTCCCAAATGTATTCCTGGAAGCAAACATTACGTTGATACTAAAAACTGGAAAAAGACCCAACTAATAAAGAGAAAGACAGGCCAATGTGCCTAATAAAATAGATACAAAATTCCTCAATAACATACTGGCAAACAGAATGTACCATATCATCAATGTTATATAGCATGACTAAGTGGACTCATCTCAGGGATACAATAATGGTTCAACATATTTAAGTCAATAAATGTAATAGCAGAGCTAAGGGCAAAACCCCTATGATCATCTCAATAAATGTAGAAAAGCATTGGACAAAGTCTAGTACCCATTCATGGTACAAACAACAACAACAACAACAAAAATTACAGAAATGTGGAGTAGATGATCGTTTATCTTGATCTGATGAAAGTCATCTATGCAAACCAACAGTCAACACCATACTAAATGGACAAAACTGAAAGCTTTCATTCTAAAATCAGGAACAGGTGCTGGGGATTTAGCTCAGCAACATAAGCGCCTGCCTTGTAAGCAAGCAGTCGTGAGTTGGATCCCCGGTACCGATAAAAATAAATAAAATAAAATAAAATCAGGAACAAAACAATGATGTCCACTGTCTCCACTCTTATTCAACATAGTCCTGGAAATGTTAGTCAGAGGAGGTAGACAAGAGAAATAAAAGGAATAATGATAGGAAAGGAAGAAGTTAAAAACTATCATTATTTGTGGATGACATGACAGTCTACATAGAAAATCCCAAAAACTCCACTAAAATCTGTTAGATTTAATAAGCAAATTCAGTAGCATAGCTGGATACAAAGTCAACATCAAAACCAATACCTTTCCTGTACACCAATAACAAACTCAGCGAGAGAGAACTTAGGGAAACAATATCTTTCACAGTATCATGCAAAATAATGAAATACCTAGGAATTGATCTAGCAAAGGATTAAAAGACTTCTACATTGAAAAATACAGTACTCTGAAAATATAAATTGAAAATGATATCAGACAATTGAAAGATATCCGTTGCTCTTGAGTAAAAAGAACTAATATAGTGAACATGGTCATACTTACAAAACTGTTATACAGATTTAATTCAATTCTGATCAAAAGTCCAACAGCTTATCTCACAGAATTAGAGAAAACAGTCCTAAAATTCATTTGGAACCAGAAGAGACCTAGAATAGCAAAGGCAATTCAGGACATCAAAGGCAAGGCAGCAGATTATCATAATCCCTGACTTGAAATTATACTACAAAGGTAACGTGATTAAAAAAAAAAATGTCCTACTGGCAACATAACAGACCTGAAGATCAATGAGACAGAACACGAGATTCAGAAACAACTCTAGCTACACTCAGCCCCTTTATCTATGAAAAAGTTTCCAAATACAATCACTGGAAGAATAATAGCCTCTTTATTAAATGGTGCTAGAAAAACTGGCTTTGAAAATGCCAAAGATTAAAATTGGACCCATGTCTTTCATCATGTACTAAACTAAATTAAAAATGGATCAAAGGCATAAATATATTTAAAAAAAAACATTAAACTGACTAGAAGATAGAATAAATAAAATTCTTCAAGGCATTGGTCTAAGCAAAGACTTTATGAATTAAACCC